TAGCTGACGAGACGAGACGCCTCCTCCCCCGCTGACGCGCACGTTCTCCTCTCTCTTCGCCGGTGGCCGGAGGGACTAGCCGGCCGGCTCCTTCCTCGCCTGCCTGCCTGCCCTGGTAAGACATACATATGACCGCGTGCGTGCGGCGCGTGCTTGCTCGCCGTCTTTTGTCTCGGTTTGGTTGCTTCGCCGTGTTGTTTGGTTTTGGTTTTAGTGGCGAGGGATCTGGACGTTTCGCTGAGGACCTGGTTTCTGGTTTGCTTTGCCGATCGCGTCGGCGTGTACTCCTTTGACGCCACGCGATTTCTCCAAAACTTTTGATCGTGGATCTAGCGGTGTGCGTACGTGTAGCCAGCCGGTCGGTGGATCGTTTTGCCGATGATCCTTGTGAGGCTCGACCAGGGGCTTCGTCCGCGTCCTCTACCGGCCACCGGTGTTTTCTACCTTGTTCACGTGCTCCCGACGCCATGCTTCCGTCCGGAACTTTGCTTTGGATGAATGATAGCCGAGACCACGCAGGGGAGGCCGGAATCACGTCTTGTGTCTGGTTTTTCTCCGATCTTTCTTTCCGTGAGTTTTGGCGTCGAGGATCTCGCGTACGTTCGCGCCTCCATGGTGAGTGTAGATGGATGGGATTCGTCCGCGTCCTGCTGAGGTTCTTCACACCCCGATTTTACATGTGGTTATCTACCTCCTTTACGTGCATGTGTACTCTAGTCCTGACGACATACTTTTGTCCTAGCCTTGGATGGATCATGATCGCCAACCGACCGGCCAGTGCTAGGATCATGTTTATATCATGTTTTTACTTTTGGCTTGATCTTCCTTTCTTCTGTGGAGCCGTGTCACCGGCACCTCTCCCCATTTCCGTCCATCTGCCCTTGCTTGCTTGGCCTACTCATACGTTCCGATCACTCTCTCTACTTGCATCTCGTCACCCCTTTCGTTTGGTTTGAATCCAGGTGACGATGGTTACATCTTGTTGTATTTGCATAGATCCATGTTTCCGCATCTAGAATTTTGATTAGGATGCTTCTCTGAAGGTCTATTCCATGGTTTTGTTGTGCAAGAGTTTCGACCCTGGTGGTGGATCTGTGGTCTGCCCTTGGTGGAGATGTAGATTGCACCACCGAGGTAATTAACGCCATTACTCCGTGGATGGTTGATGGATACTTCTTGCAGATCTGTAGATCTTGCTTTCTTGTGTGGAGCATGTGTGCCCAATTGCCAATAGCTAGGTTGCATCGGCGCCTCTCTCCATTTTTCTCCATCTGCTCTTGGTTGCTTTATTTCTTCTGATCGCTTTGTGTACTTGCATTTCATCACACCTTTTGGTTGGAATCCGGCTTACTGTGATTCTATTTTTGATTTATACATGGTGACGTCTCGTCACCTATTTGGTTTGAATCTGGGTGAAGCTTCTACGCTCAATTTATGGTGACATCGCTAGTTGTATTTGCATAGTTTGAATTTGGGTGCGCGTGCTTCTATTTGATTTATGGTGCATCTAGTTATGTTTGCATAGATCTGTGTTTTCACATCTGAACTTCTAATTAGGATGTTTTTCTAATAGTCTAATTGTTATGTTGTGCAGGAGTCTTGCTTTCGGTGGTGGTCAATCGTGATCTGGCCTTGCTGGAGATTTGTAGATTGAACCGGCCAGGTAAGTTTTTTACCCCCCCCCCTCCCCACCCCATCATTTTTTGCGTTCACCATGTCTAGGTCTGCCAAATATGTCCTTGTTTGAAAATGTGTTAACAAATTGTTGATTTGCGGTGTAACCGCTAAACTCTTGATTTTGTAATTTGATTGTTATATTTATCTAAACATCTAATTGACACATCTACTTGATTCTAAACTTTACAGGGGAATTATGTCAAACTCTCCACATTCTACTGGTACTGCTGGTATATGTGCTTACCTTGCTATTTTGGTTCCCAAATTTTAGATAAACTTATTCCTGGAAATGCTATAGTTTCCACAAAATTGCACTTCTCCATATTAGAAAATTATAAACGGTCATAATATTATTATTTTTATAAGTTTGATGTGCGGTGTAGTATATGAAACTATGGATTGGGACACCATTGTTATTTGTTGGTACATTTGCGACTCATGCATTTAACTAATCATTCAACAATATATTTTACAAGGCCACTATGTGTAGTAAGCGAGCATAATCATATTGGGTCAATCAAAGAATCAGTAGTTAAACCGCCATTTTAATATTTTATGTATGGGATTCATCTGATGCATATATATATATACTTGCACTGCATTCAGTTCTTTCAGCGTTGTCCAATATTTGTTGAAAAATGTGTCTAACATTTCTATCAAAAATGTGTCCAACATTTTTATCGCTTTCAGGAACAAAGAGGCACCAAGCAAAGCCTAAAAGCAGAAATGAGAATATAATTGAGGAGAGCAATGTTACCACCAATATTGGTCACAATGCCATTGGCTGCAAGAGACCAAAAAGAGAAGTTGCCCGTTCGAATTTCAGTGAGAAGGCATTTGACTTATCTGAAGAAGATTCACTTGTCACACCCAAGGAAATCAGAATTGAGGAGGAAACAGAGGCAGTTAGGTTGACAAGAACATGAATCAATTCTGTACTCCAGGCACACATGTTCAATCAATAGCTTGTCATGCAATTACGATCTTATGTCTTTTGCATTTTACTTAGGATCTTGCATTCCCTCACAATTAAACCTTCCTCTTAACTTGCATAAAAATTTAAATTATTTCAGGTACAAGTTACGCCAACCAACGAAGCAGTATGCGCCATGGTGTGACACTGTCCTTAAAACAGCAAGACTGGCTGTTAGTGTCATTGCCATTTTAAAAGAACAAACTCGTGCTTCAAAACTTTCTTTCGCTGATGTTACCAAGAGAGTAGCAGAATTTGAGAGAGGGCACCATGCATTCATTTCAAAAGATGCAACACTTGTTGAAAGATATGTTGTGGTGCATGGACAGATAATCCTTCAACAGTTCGCAAATTATCCAGATGAGTACATTCGACGGTGCGCCTTCATCACAGGCCTTGTCAAGAAGATGGAAGAAAGAGGTCACACGAAGCTAGCAATGAAGAAGAAATCTCAAGTTGTGAGAGGAGGGAATCTGAACCCAATTGCAAAAATGACCCCAGTATCAAAACGAAATCTTATGCGTGCGACAACCACAAAGTTGGTCAGCAGGATATGGGGTGATTACTATACAACCCATTTCCCAGAGGATTCAAAGGAGGGGGGTGAGAATGATGAGCAAAAGGTATTTGAGGAGGAACAGGAAGAAAATGAAGAAGATGATGCTGAAGGAGAGGTTGAAGTTGGCGAGGAACATGTTTCGAGGACCTTGCCACCAACAAGGTCTAGAGTGACATCATTAGATGTTTGTGAAGAAATAAAATGGGAAGGTCAAATGGTTGGAAAAACACCTGCTGGAGAAGCTCTGTACAGAAGTGTTAGAGTTGGAGATCTAAGTATTCCTGTTGGTGGGGCAGTCACATTGGAAGGTGATTCAGGAGAAGCCATTATGTGTTCTGTTGAGTATATGTATGAGACACATGATGGCACACGAATGATTCATGGAAGAGTTCTGCAAAATGGTTCGGACACTGTCCTCGGCAACGCCGCAAACGAAAGAGAGGTGTTCTTTACCAATGACTGTTTACAGTTCAAAGTAGGTGACATGAGAGAATCAGTTACTGTCAACTTCCAGCTAATTCCCTGGGGTCACAAGTGCAGAAAAGACCAGTTGGAAGCTATTAGGGCGGAGAAGGCCAATGCAGAGGATAGGAAGAAGAAAGGTTTGCCGGTGGAGTATATCTGCAAAAGCCTATACTGTCCTGAGAAAGGTGCCTTTTTCTCCCTCCCTTATGAGAAAATGGGTAATGGAACTGGCACTTGTAGTTCCTGTGAGGAGCGAGTAGCGGTTGGTGATGAATTCAAAATACTGTCAGAGACCAGCTTTGTCCTCAAGAATGTCACATACAATGTTCATGACTTCCTGTATATCAGGCCCGAGTTTTTCCCTCGAGTCGAGGGCCGTGGGACCTACCGGGCTGGAAGAAATGTGGGCCTGAAACCCTATGTGGTATGTCGTTTGCAGAGTGTCAATGGTGCTTCAAGGTCTCATAAAGCTAATCTGAAATCAACAAAAGTCAGTGTAAGAAGGCTATACAGACCTGATGATATTTCATCGGATAAAGCTTACTCTTCAGATATCAGAGAGGTTTGGCACTCTGCCTTATGTTTACCAAATTTTTTGATGTGCATCATTACCACCATATTGTGCCTGTGATTCCACCTAGCTTTATGTTTTTTACACTTGGACTTTAATCTACTCCCTCCGTTCCTAAATATTTGTCTTTTTAGATATTTCAAATGGTTACCACATACGGATGTATGTAGACATATTTTAGAGTGTAGATTCACTCATTTTGCTCCGTATGTAGTCACTTGTTGAAACCTCTAGAAAGACAAATATTTAGGAACTGAGGGAGTAGTTTTCTTTGTTGTTTGATCCAGGTGTACTACAGTGAAAATATAGTTAGTGTGCCTGTTGCGATGATAGAGGGAAAATGTGAGGTTACAGCAAAGGATGACCTTCCAAATTCAAATCTTCCAGTAGTAGTTGAGCACGCCTTTTACTGTGAACATTTATATGATCCTGGCACTGGAGCTCTCAAGCAGGTCAGAATGATATTGCCAAATTTAATTTTGTGTTCATCTCATCTTGTTGACGAACTTCTTCATATATTTGATTGAGTTTGCCTTGTCTATGAACCAGCTACCGACCAATGTTAAGCTCACCCTGGCAAGGAAGGCGCCTGCTTCGAGAAAGAATAAAGGGAAGCAGATTTGTGACGATGAGCAAGCCGGTTCGGATAAACACAAGGATGAAACACCAGAGAACTGTCTTGCAACCCTTGATATTTTTGCTGGCTGTGGAGGTTTGTCTGAAGGGCTGCACCTAGCTGGTAATGTGTTTTCCATTTGCATGTTCTTCATAAGATGCTTGTGCATTTTCGTAGACAGAGCACCTTGGCCACCACATACCTTCTGATCATTCAACTGTACAGGCGCTTCACGTACAAAATGGGCAATCGAATATGAAGAACCTGCTGGGCAAGCATTTCTTCAAAATTATCCTGAAGCAGCAGTGTTTGTGGAGAACTGCAATGTAATTCTGAAGTATGCAAAACCCATTTCCCCCTTTAGATGCACTAAACCCATTACTTATTTCTGACTATTCTCATATTCAGGGCGATAATGGATAAGTGTGGCGATGTTGATGACTGCCTCTCCACTTCCGAGGCTTCTGCGAGAGCAGCAAAACTTCCAGATGAGAAGGTTAAGAATCTCCCTATGCCCGGTGAAGTAGAATTCATCAATGGTGGTCCTCCATGCCAGGTCAGATGCCTCACCTATACACCAGATGAATGCTCCATGTTTTGTCAATCCTCTGCGTTGTTGCTTGACGCTCTTTGTGCATCTTTTCTCAGGGGTTCTCCTGGATGAACAGATTCAAGCAGAGCCCATGGAGCAAGGTTCAGTGCGAGATGATTCTGGCATTCCTGTCCTTCGCAGAGTATTTCCGGCCAAGGTTCTTCCTTTTGGAAAACGTCAGGAACTTTGTTTCATTTAAGATGGGCCAGACCTTCAGACTGACACTAGCATCGCTCCAGGAGGTGGGGTACCAGGTCCTTGACGCTTGCTCTTCTCTATTTGTGCTATGGCCTTCCTTAACTTCCATATGTTTTCAACTAGTCTGCATGTTCCTAGGTTCGATTCTGCATTCTAGAGGCAGGTGCCTATGGCGTCGCGCAGTCCAGGAAATGGGCGTTCATCTAGGCCACCGCGCCTGGGAGACTCTTCCTGACTGGCCTGAACCAATGCATGTCTTCGCTAGCCCTGAGCTGAAAATAAACCTGCCAGGAGGTAAATACTATGCTGCTGCCAGGAGCACAGCTGGAGGAGCTCCTTTCCGCTCTATAACAGTCAGGGATACAATCGGCGATCTACCACCGGTGGTGAATGGCGCCAGCAACCCAACAATAGAGGTGCGTACAATCTGAATTTCTTGTGTCAGTCAATGCTCTTGATCAGTACAAGCTGAATTTTCTTTCTCCCTTGTGTGCTGTAGTACGGAGGCGAGCCCATCTCCTGGTTCCAGAAGAAGATTCGAGGCGATACGCTTTCGCTGAGTGACCACATATCCAAAAAGATGAACGAGGTGAATCTCATTAGGTGCAAGCACATCCCAAAGCGCCCTGGCTGTGATTGGCATGACCTGCCAGATGAGAAGGTAGCATTCAGTTTCAGCCATCTTATTCACATTCTCTGCTGCTCTCTACATTCTTGGTAAGCAACCATGTGATGTACTAGCAGCTAATTTTCATCATGTGAATACTACAGGTGAAGCTATCCACAGGGAAAACGGTGGATCTGATCCCTAAGTACTTGCTCAACACAGCCAAGAGAACAATCAGTGGAAAGGCCTGTATGGGAGGCTGGACTGGGAGGGCAACTTCCCCACATCAGTGACATATCCCCAGCCAATGGGCAGGGTCGGCATGTGCTTCCACCCTGATCAGGACAGGATCATCACTGTTCGTGAATGTGCGCGATCCCAGGTAAGCAAGTACTCTTGCAGATATCCCTATCAACACTCTCGAAATTGCTACTGCATAGTGGGTAGTATATGCAGTAATGCATCCACTTGTGCCTCGGCAACTACACTTGGCTAGTTGACAGTAGATTTTGTTCCCACCAATGCTACTAGAGTAGATTGAGCTATTTTATCAGAATCAGATCATAGTTCTGTGCATGTGCAAGAGCAATTGCCTCGTTTCCCGTCTGGCTTAACCTCCAGGGCAGGCACAGGCAAATCAGAATCCAATGCACGTTGCCATGAATCGGATCTGCTGCCATCTTGTTGAAGACTCTGATCTGATCCCACAACATGACATGAATGCAGGGCTTCCCTGATGGCTACCATTTCGTTGGCAACATCCGGAGCAAGCACAGGCAGATCGGGAATGCGGTACCACCTCCCCTTGCATACGCGCTAGGGAGGAAGCTCAAGCAAGCCATCGATGCCAAGCCGCTTAAGTTAACTGAAGACATGGTCCAAGTGGGACTTAATTTATCACTGGGCCCTATATAAATTCTGGGAACAGTTGACTCTGAAGTTACTACAGGCTGGTCACATGAATCTTTATGTGCATCTGTTGTAAGGAGGATTAAAAACATCAGGATGTTGGTGGAGGGAACATGCTCTTAGGAGTGGGGGCATAATCTTTAGTAAACAGAGGGAACATACTCTTGGAATTGGGGGCATAATCCTAGTAAACAGCAACTGTAAAACAATACCAAGAGGTTTATATGATTGAATAAATGAATGCAGTTTTCTGTTCTTTACAAGTACAAGAATTACCACCATCAAAATCTATTGTTGTTTCCCAAAGTTGTGAAGAGAAGAAAATACAGGTAGCATTCTACCTTTTTTACTAGTCACATGATACCAACTCTTGAGCTCACTTTGTCACTTGATCTCTTTCATGTATCCACTTCCTTAAGAATCTCCTTTGCTGACCTGTTACTATGTTAGTGTAGACATACATCAGAATTTATGAATGAGGATTTAGCATCATCGAAAACAATTGTTGTTCTCCAAAGTTGTGAAGAGAAGAAAACATAGTAGCAATATGTACCCAACTCTGGAGCTTACCTATCAGCTGATCTCTTTCATGTATCAGCTTTTCCAAGAATCAATCTTCTGTGTTGGCCCTGTTACTCTGTTAGTTAATTCAAAATGGTACATAAGAACATAGCAAGATACACTGAATTTCACAAGCTTTATTTCCATCACTAGTCAGTAGTAGGGATGATTTACACCTTGGAGCAACATCTTACAAAATTTCCCTTGAAAAAACAGCTTCAGATCATCACAATCAGCTTAAGAATTTCACTTGAACACCAAGTGGACTGACTACAAACAAATCAAAACTCCCCGCAAAAGGGAAAGCAAACAAGATCCTATACACCTCATACAGACTAGGAAGACTGAAATTTCCGTAGCATTACATCCTCGAAGAACAGAGGATCGGAAGAAACGCCCTTGGATCGAATCGAATGCCTCATCTCGGGAGCGTGCTGTAGCCGTAGGTGCTGCCCATGAATGAGGAGACGGCGGCGTCCCCGTCGAAGGCGTCCCTCTCGTCGAGGTAGACGTTCATGCGGAAGGCGGCGTGCACGCCGATGAGGGCGGAGGCGAGGACGAGGGAGACGAGCAGGTTGAGCCCCGCGCGGGTGAGCGCGACGGCGAGCACGGTGGCGGCGGAGAGGACGGCGAGCACGACGCGGTCGTCGACGTCGCGGCCGAGGCAGACGAGCGGGCCCGCGTCCCCGCCGCGGCCGAAGTAGAGCGCGAGCCAGGCGACGAAGAGGGCGAGGAAGGCGAGCATGGAGCGCGGGCGGTAGACGAGGCCGAGGAAGACGAGGACGAGCGCCGCGAGCGCGTAGTTGGCGCGGAAGTAGGCGAGGTTGCGGCGGGCCCGGGCGCGCGCCTCGCCGCAGGTCTCCGGGCGCGAGAAGGCCGTGTGGTCCAGCACCTCCCGCCAGGCCCGCGGCCGGCCGACGGCCGCGGCGGCCGCGGCGCTGGCCCCCGCGCGCGAGAAGAAGGCCACCCCCGCCTCCGCCGCGGTCGCCGCCGGCGGGGAGGCGGGGGAGGAGGAGGGGGAGGGCGCCGCCTCGAAGCCGCCGTTCGCGTCGGGCCGCGGCGGCGGGGGCGGGGCCGGGACGGCGCCGTAGCGCGACCAGGAGGCCGTGGAGGAGGACATGGCGGAGGGAGGGACGAACCCTAGGTGGTGGCGGGGAGGGGGGATGGATCGGGGGATCGTGCTCGTGCCGTGATTGATTGCTGTTGCTGGCTGGCCTCGGTCGATCGATCGATCGGTTTTTGTCGAGTGGATCTGGCTGGCTGGCTGGCTGGACGGAGGAGCAGGGCAAAGGGAAAAGTTTGCTTTTGGGGATTTTTATGAACCCGATTGGCCAATTCGCGGGCTAATTTATTAATGGTGTATCGGAGCGACTGGTTGGGACGTCGGCAGATCCGATCGAGCGGCTGGGAATGGCTCCTTCGACAAACAAACACACGCCCATGTCACGGCTCATATGCAACAAGCCAGAATGTCCTAATCGCATTTAAGTAGACGTGTTAATTTGCGGCGTATTAGCGTGGAACGAGTACAGTGTGTTCACAACTTTCTGGCCGAGCATTCATGTTTTAGATTTAGTAATACAAAACTCCTATTCATAGCTAATTGTCTGGGGGGGCAGCGCTACGCATCGGCCGGGTGATAATCTAAAAGGACTGACCGTCTTGGCAGCGTTGTATGGCGCCCCGAATAGCCATGAGTATCAACCTTTGTAACAAGTTATTTGTGTTGGGCTCCGTCTTCTACAACAGGAGCCTTGTTGCGATCTCTCCATGAACCTTTCTGTTTTCCTTTAAAACAAGATCTATGCTGAGCTCGGCCTTCTGCAACAGGAGCCCTGTTGCAATCTCTCTAAACCGGGTTTTTTTAAAAACAATACCCATGTTGCGGAAATGAACCGCGACCACCGTTGCAACATCACATGGGTTTTAAACACGTGTCCCTGTTTGCACATCATTGTAACAACACCAAATGTTTAAGAAACATAGCTCAGCTGCAAACCAGTGCAACAACACGCATGTTTCATAAACATAAACCTTGTTGCAGAAGCTTGTCAGAGGAGCACCACCAATGTTATCGAAGCACGGACGCCGCTTTGCAACATCGATGGTCGGTTGCGGCGGTTGGCCTTTCTCGCAGCAACGCTTCTCGTGCAGGAGGTATGGTTGAGGATGGGAACGAAAATATAGGAGAAGGAAATGATCTGACTTTGCAATGGAGGGAACTGAGAGAGGGCATGAGGAAGAATTGAGAGATGAATAAGGAGAGAAGATAAGATGGGCTAGGGAAGAGAGGGGTAAGGTTGGATGAGAGAGAGAGAGGGGCGTCTCCATGGGCCCACGAGGACACACGTCGTTTGGATGACGAGGCTGAAGCGCCCTAGCAACCGCCGAATGATTGCTAGTGTTTTCGTTTCTTCATTGTGAAAATCTTCATCCAGCTCCAGAGTGGCGATGCAATGAAGAGTCAGTGCTTCTATAAATTTTGGTGTAGTGATGTCATGAAAGCATCGGGGCGACCTACACGACACCTACCTACATGGTCCTACGCCACCACGCCAACTACCGAACGAGATGAAGATGTGAAGATTTATGCATCCACATTCAAACAAAACCAAAACAATCGGCCCTGGAGTCCATTTTCTCAATCTGCATTGTAGCTTCATGTATTGGTGAATGATCTGGCTTCAAACAATGCAAATCAATCATATTCATATCCACGTAGGCTGCAATCCTCTGGGTTGTCACAACAGGGTTCATCGTAGGTTTTGAATTTATAGTCTCACTTCGAGAATCTCAAATATGCCAACACACCACTCCTACAACCACACTTTGTACCACATTGTTGCGATTGAGAAGGTCAAACAACCGTTGTTTAGCATTATGAAAGAAAAAAAATGTTTTGACCGAATACCAAACTTCTCCTCAATCCCGTTTTAGATAGTCGCAGCAAAGGGGCACGTAAAAAAGAATGCTCAACAAGTCGGAGTGTATATGCATAAAAATCTGTAAATTAGGAGAAGTGCATATGCATTAAAATGTGGAAAACCTATGGATTAAATTAGGGGACGTGCTACGTGTCGGTCGGCGGATCATTTGAAAAAAAAAATCTGCCGCCTGGTGAGCCGTCGTATCTGGATCAATCTAGTGGCCGACGCCGAGCGTCGTCCTCAACTTCTGCAACATAAGTCGTGTCGCAGAAATATCTGCAGCAGAGATTGTGTTGCGAAAAAAATTTGCAGCAGTGATGATATTGCGGAAATATTTGCATTTTTTTTGCAACAAATGTTAAGTTGCAGAAAATTTATGCAACAAAGAGAATGTTGCAGGAACAGCTGTTGCGGCTGAAGCTTAGGGAGGCGACAACCTACTGTGTCGGCGTGCTTGCCAGCGGCCTTGTCGGTGGCGAGCCCCGACAACAACAGTTGAAGTAGCGTGAGAAGGTGTCAACTTGGGGGGAGGGGGGAGTTCGGGGGGAACACGGGAGGCGACTACTCATGCTTGCCAGCAACTTCGTCAACGTGCTTGTCGGCGGCCTTGTTGGCGTGCTTGCCGATGGCGCCAGTCGTGCTTATCAGAGATCTCGTTGGCATGTTCGCTAGCGGCGACCGGAGTAGCGCCTAGGAGCTTTGGCTTGACGAGGAGCACGGGATCTAGATCTCACAACACACTAGCTGTTGTGGTGGGGAATTATAAGAACTACCGGTTGTAAAATTTATTTAGGCTACATAATACGTCGTTTCTGGGTCATCTGATTAAAATCAGATCTGACGACTATGAAGGCGTAGACGCACGCGTCGTTATCAGTCGGATAGGATGATTTGCATCATTTCCCTTAATAAACTACTTTCTCCGTTCCGAATTACTTGTCTTGGATTTGTCTAGATACGGATGTATATAGACTCATTTTAGTGCTAGATACATCCGTATCTAGACAAATCTAAGACAACTAATTCAGAACGGAGGGAGTAGATATTAGACAATTAGACACCGTCAAGCGTGGCGCGCTGGTCGCTCGAGGCTCAGCCTTGACCTCAGGGACCGTGTCCACCCTGTGTTCCCAAGTCGCCGGAACCTCGAACAAGCACGAACTGATCATAAATTACCGGTACTTCCACAGTTCCACGGGTACGTACTTAACGAAGGTGGGAGCGAGGCAGACACGCCATTTTCACGAGTCCCCTGCATGTCGACGAGATCCCAAGAGCGGCGATCAGTCGCACACGTCGACGCGACGCGGTGTCGGGTGCTCCCGGACACGGAGAAGCCGCCATCGTCGATCGGGATGGGGATGGGCCGACGCCCAACTGGTGGGTCTTCTCCGTCCTCTGACAGCGCAACAAACAACGAACGAACATCCGTGGCCTGCGGCCGAACTGTCCTCGAGCTCCTCGTCCGTGCCCGACTCGGCAGATCGGATTTGACAGCGATTCGCAATTGCATGCAGATCCATGGATGCAGAGGAAGACATGCCACGTGCCGGATCGGATCCATAGCGTGGAAAGGGGGCGGAAGCACGAGACGATGAGAAGGCTGAGTGCCTGCCGTCTGGGAAAATCATTACTAGCGTGACAGCCCAATACAGACTGGGCGATCCATTCAATTAGATTAATTGTTTTTTGAGGGTAATTAGATTAATTGTTTATATACCATTAGTTTTAGTTTTTATTGAGGGTAATTAGATTAATTGTTTATATCCAATGATATTAGACGGCAGGACCCGTAAGGCACTATTGGACCAATGTTAGCTAGACTATGAGCAACTCTATTTTCATAATGTCATGGTTTGTCGGCGTCAGTTCGCGGGGGAATCTGTTTCACAACCCTAAACCCTAAACGTCGTCCCCCAAGTTTCGACCTTGTTCGGCTTCTCTAGCAGCCTTCCATCAAGTGAAGCAGCCACGCTGGAACTGGAGTCCACGCCACAGTCTCTTACGCACATCCACGCGACTGTCGTTGGCAACCGCGACGGCTCCGGCCTTGCTTCAACAAAATGCGCATCAGATCCCGTCTCCGTCGCCGCCACGCTCGCTCTCCCCCGAGCTTGGGACTGTGGACTCTCCGGCTTCACCACCCACCGCTGCTGCGCTGGCCGCGACTGCCCTTGCTTTTCGCAGGTCGGACCCGACCATTGGGGGGGCGGAAGGCGACGACATCCTCGGACGCGGCGCCCACTGCTCCTACGCCGCAGGTCGTTGCTGGAGGTGACCGTGTCGTCCCGCCCGTGCACCCTGGTTGGGGGGATTGGCGTGGATGCTTTCGTCGGAATGAGGCACCTGCCGTTCTCGACTGTTGTGCGGCTGCTCCGCGCGGGGATGAGTTGGGGGGTTGGCAGCTCGTCTCCAAGGGGCGTCGTTCGACGCCTCCTCCGGCTTTTCATCGCCCTTCCTTGAATGCACGGCTGCCTCCTCCGGCATGGTTGAGAGATAGATGTTTTTGGTGTTTGTGTCGGGGTCATCGAGCACACTCCTGCAGGGATCCAATCCGTTGCAGAAATTGCCTCCGTTTCGGCCACATTGCTCGCTTTTGCCGTGCGAAGCAACCCGTTGACCAAACTACGCCGCAACCATGTGTTGCTCCACCGCCTGCATCCGTCATCCAAGCTGATGTGCCATTACAGCTCGTCCTTGAGCAGCAGGCTGAGCTACTTTGCATTGAGCTTCGCGAATGTCTTGTGCGTGTTGAGAGTGTCTTGGCAAGGGCGGAGGATGCTCTTGGTAAACTTCAGGTTGTGCCGATTGGGTCTCTGCTCCCCGAGCTTCAAGTTGGTTCTGCAGATGGAGAGGAAGTCAACCTCTATGGAGGTTTCTCTCCTCGTGCTAGGCCCTGCTCTATGGTGTCGATTGGCGTTGGAGGTGAAGTGATCGTTGAGGATGTGGCTCCAGTTCTACAAATTATGCCTGAGTTGACAGTGCTATGTGAGGAGTCCACTCCACCTCTTTCGGTGGCGATTCCGAAGGAGATGAGCTTGCTAGGGGCTTTGGCGGTGCCCACGACACCCTCACCACCGCCCTTGGAGTCTAGCCAGACCGACTTTGTGGTGTGTGCAGGTTTGGATGCCGCGGTCACTCACTCGCCTGTGACCATTGGGCAAGTGGTGCCCCCAGGTGGAGATGTTGTTGG